ACATATACACACACACACACACATACTGACAGAGGATACAGAAACAACTGGACGCACAGGCCAAAGTCTTCATGGAGCAGCAGGCAGAGGTACCAGCAGGACTTTTACTTGTGTTGGGTTGTTTGTATATATATATTTATATGTAATATGTGAGGCAGCGTCAGGGGCTCGTCAGAAAAGTAATGGAAAGTCAAGAAACTGGCATTTTACTGCAGGTTTTGGAATTTTTACCAATTTTTTTTTTTCCTCAACACCTTTCATGCCCACTAAAGAACACTTTTATATGTGAATTTTACTGAAAAACATTGATTAAAGGCATAAAAGATGTAAATTTTCAGTTTCCACAGACTCTGAAGCTGAGGAAATAATTCAACTTTGGCAGCCATTTTCTCACTAATTTTACCTCTAAAACCAGGCGACCTTGACCCCCTTCAATCACAAATATTTTGACTTCTATTCAACATTGATGGATATCTTTTTCACCAAAAGAAAGGAAAATTAACAGGCTTTAAGATGATACCAATAACCCCACATGCCCGAAAATTGACGAGCGCCTGATTCCGCCACGCCACGACACATATACATTTGGTTGGCGGGTGCTCTGGTGTGGTTTTTTGCTTCTTCTTTCCTATCAAACATCTATGGTCCTTATCTCTCCTCCTTTTCTTTTTGTGTTTGTTACTCTTTTGTAACACCTCTAATCTTCGGCACTTATAGAACCTATTTGTGATGCAAGTGCCGGAAATAATCTCTCGCTAAAAGGAAAAACTGAGGCAAAAACCATCCCAACCCTTTCTTATCCAACATCTATCGTCCTTGTCTCCCGTCCTTCTTTTTTGTGTTTGTTACTCTTTTGTAACACCTCTTATCTTCGGCTCTTATTTGACCTTATTGTGTTGCAGGTGCCGTAAAAGTCTTACTAAAACTAAAAAGGGGATACCTTGCGGGCTTTGGTGCTGGGGGAAACTGAGCACTTATGGACCTGTCCGGTGTGCAATGACGTTGTTGCCCAGGACAGGTAATACAGGTAAAAAGGGGATTTGCACTCTGCAAATGCTATCTATGATTATCTCTTCTTGCTTGTGCAGAAGGAGGAGAGGCAGCGTCAGGAGCGGCTGGAGGACTGGGAGAGGCACCAGCAGGGCCGGGGATACCGCTCCAAGGTCAAGGTGAGTCACACTGGCCAAGGTCAAATCTCTCACCTCCTGTCCTGTGGTTGAGAGAGAGAGAGACAGAGACAGAGAGAGACAGAGAGAGACAGACAGACAGACAGACAGACAGACAGACAGACAGACAGACAGACAGACAGACTATGGGAATGAGCGCGGGGGGGGGAGGGGTGGCAAATGAATAAGAAATAGACTGACAAGCAGAGAAGCGGGAAGGCAAAAACAGGCACAGAGGCCAGACAGACAAACCTGCAGACAGACAAACAAACGATCCGAACAGACGATGAGGAGGACAAACAATTATGGCTAGTTAGTGAGTGGTCATTCCGGGCTGACCCTTGCCTGCGAGATCATCTGACCGCCCCCCCCCCTCATCCCACCCCTTGGACTGACCTCGACATCTATGCATGTAAAATCCTCGTCATGTGAGACCAGACTAATGCCTGGTCATCTGCTCACCCCGCCCACTCCTACACTGCCCACACCCCTCGGCGCGCGAGACACAGCCAGCTAGCAATGTGCACCGGCATCTGGTTACATCGGGGTTATGCTGCCAAGGCTTTTTTAGCAGCTCTAAGAAGGCTTATGGTTAGGCTTTATACGTTCTTTGACCGTCTAGGGTTAGGCCCCTCGCCGTCTTACGCAGTAGACGTACGTTCGAAACCCGAGTTGGGAGGGTAACAATAACAACAACACACACACAAAAAAAAAGAAAAAAAAGCAACCAACTCCCCTCACCACCCCACATCCAAAAATACAACAACCCTTAACCCACAATTATGTTTGTCTCAATGCTGGGATGCTGTATTGCTGTATTCTACTCAGTGCGGGTTGATAGTGGCAGCAGGATCAAAGCAGCCTGCCGCCTAAATGATCATAATTGTTTCGATGGGTGCTTAAAGCGTTTACAGTAACTCATTAAATGATCCACCCGACGGGCCCACTATTTTCTCAAGGTTTTTCAGAGGAATTATCAACCCCCGCCCCAC